GTTGCGTTAGAGTTTCTAGTGCTGTGATAAACCAATATGTGCAAAACAAGGCAGGAAGAAAATGCTGATTTGACTTATAGTTCCACATCACAGTCCATGATCAAAAGAAGTCAAGGCAGTAATTCCTAGTAGAAATCTGGAGTCAAGAACTGAAGCAGAAGCCATGGAGTAACATTGCTTATTGGCTTGCTTCTCATGATTTTCTCAGTCTGCTTTCTTTTACACCACAGGAACACCTGCTCAGGGGTGGTACCACCCATGGTAATCTGGGCCCTTGTACATTGTGGTGGTTTGAATAAAAATGGCCCCCACAGGCTCATAAGGAGTGGCATGATTAGGAGGTATGCCCTTATTGGAGTAGGTGTGGCTTTATTGGAGGAAGTACATCACTAGGGGGCAGGCTTTGCTCAAACCAGGTCTACTGTGACATTCACTTCCTTCTGCCTACTGATCCATATGTCGAATTCTCAGCTCCTTCTCCAACACCACGACTGACTACATGCTGCTATGCTTCTTATTATGATGATAATGGACTAATCCTCGGAAACTATAAGCCATCCTTGATTAAATGTTTTCCTTTATAAGAGTTTCCATGATTATGGTGTCTCTTCACAGCAGTAGAAACTCAAACTGTGACATACATCAAACATTAATTGAAAAAATGTTCTGCAGGGTTCCATAGTGTAAATATGATAGAGGCATCTTTTCAGTTGAGAGTTCCCCCCTGTAAAATGATTCTAATGTGTCAAGTTGACAAAAAAAAAAATCCAGCTAGCACAGAGGATATCTTCTTAATGAGCACATATATGTATTCTCTGTGTTCTTAGACATTGATTCAATTCAGCAGCACCTCTGAGAATGGGTCTTCTCTTGCTGTGTACTAAAAACTAATCAGCTGAATGGAATTCATCCCTCAAATGAACAACAAAAGGAATATAAGCTGTGTTTCTTTCTAACTCCAAAAGGTATCTTTTAAAAAATTTCTTCATTTAATTTTTTTATACAGTACATTTTGATCTTTTTATTTCTTCTTTCCTAACTCCTCCCAGATCCTCCCTGCCTTTCTACCCATGCAATTTCATATTCATTCTCAAAAGACAAAACAGAACAGGAAAAACAACTACAAAAAACTTAAAAAAGAAAATTAAGACAAACTTAAAAAAAAGAAAATCAATGTGATTTTAAAAAATGACAAAACAAAAAGTATACACACACACACACAGTGAGCAGTTTGTTTTGGATTGACAAAATTCCTGGATTAAACTTCCCAAGAGTTAAACTTCCCAGTGAAACCACTGAAGAAAATTGACATTCCCTACCCCAGCAGGTATCAATTGCAAATGACTCTTTGGTTAAGGTTCATACTTTGTTTCTGCCTCCCCTTCTCCTTGCTGTGTTGTTGTCTGTTGTGAACCTGTGTGTGCTATCACAGTCTCTGCACATTCATATGTATATCAGTCCTGTTGTCTCCAGAAGACATTGCTTCCTTGAAGTCACCCACCACCTCTGGTTCTTATGATCTTTCTGCCACCTCTTAGATCTCTGAGCCTTGAGAGAAAGGGTTTGATAAAGACATCCCATTCAGGTTTGAGTGTTCCAAGGGCTCTCATTCTCTACACATTGTCAAGTTATGAATCTCTGTGTTAATTCCCATCTATTGCAAGAAGCATCTCTGATGAGCATTGAGTGATGCTCTATACTCTGTGTATAGCAATGTGTCATTAGGAGTCATTTTATTTCTACATTCATTTAGCATAATAATACTGGTTTATCCCTAGGCTCATGTTCTATGCAATGTTGGGTTCTTCTATCATGGATAGATTTCATCTTATGGAATGTGCCTTAAATCCAATATTTTAAAAAGTGTCTGATTACTCCCATAACATTTGTGTTGCTGTTGCACCAGTATGTCTTAGAGACAGGTCACTGTTGTAGGTCACAGATTCTTTTAGCCGAGATAAATTGATTGTCCCCAAGTAAGGGTTAAGCTTTTAGTTGGAGACCAGCTCAATTTCTCCATGTTTGATGATGTAACTAAGTTGCTTCTTCACCAATACAGTCTTACCATCAGGTTATGGAAAGGAACCAATAACCTTGGAAATAACCTGTGATATTTGGAGGAGGACCTATGGGACCCCTCTGGCTAACAACTCAACAAAGTGTAACCTATTCCTGGCACTAGAAATTTTATTTGGTAGCATAAGATGTCTAGTTGGGGCATTGTCTCCCTTATTTTACAGTGTCTCCCTTTACTTTACTTTCAATATGTATATTTTTAGGAAGCTTCTGCAGTAGTCGGTTTCCATGTGGCTTTTCAGAAAAGGCTTTAATGTTAGTCTCTCCTAGTGTTTCCTCTTTTATCCTGCCTCCCACCCCCCTTGCCATTTCATCCTCCTAGTCTAGTTTTCCCTTTATCTATTTAACACTATACTCTATTACTCCTTTCTTGAAAGATTCTCTCCTCCCCCCTGGTCCCTCACTAGCTACCTAACCTCTGTGGTTATTCAAATTGAAATACACATATCTAAAGTTTAAAAGCTGACATCCACATATAAAATAAAACATCCAATATTTGTCTTTTGGAGGTTTAGGTTACATCACTCAAGATCATTGTTTCTACTTCCATCCATTTATCTCAAAATTTCATATTTTTAATAGCTGAATACTATGCTATTGTGTAAATGTACCACATTTTCGTTACCCACTCATCAGTTGATGGCCATCTAGACTATTTCAATTTTCTGACTATGATGAATAGAGCAACACTGAACATGGGTAAGCAAGTACTTCTGTATCAAGGTGCGGAATCTTTTGGGTATGTTGTCCAAGAGGGGTATAGCTGGATCTTGTGGCATATCCATTTCCAGCTTTTTTAATAACCTCCACACTGATTTCCATAGTGGCTTTGCCAGCTTGCACTCCCACCAGCAGTGGATAAGTGTTCCCCGCCCCCCCCCCCCATCCTCAACATCATGTGCTATCACTTGTTTTATTGATCCTAGCCATTCTGACTGGAATAAGATAAAATCTCAAAGTGGTTTTCATCTGCATTTTCCTGATGACTAAAGATGTTGAACATTTTTTGTTTCTCAGACATTTGTGTTTGAATTCTTGACAGCTGTTTAGTTCTATACTTCATCTTTAAATTGGGCTATTTGTTTTCTTGATGTGAAGGTTTTTAGTTCTTTGTGTTTTCTAGCTATTACCCCTCTATCAGATGAGTAATTAGTAAAGATTTTCTGTGGTGATATATTGTGTACCCTAAATGTGATGATATATTGTGAACTCTAATAAACTTATCTGGGGATCAAAGGACAGAGCCAGCCACTAGATTAGACAGAGAGGCCAGACGGTGGTGGCACACACCTTTAATCCTATCACTTGAGATCTCATGTCTTTGCCTGGAAAGCACACACGCCTTTAATGCCAACAAGTGACATGGCTGGGTAGAGAACAGTATATAAGGGATGAGGAGACAGGAACTAAGCAGCAGTTCAACTGAGACCCTCAGGGGTGAGGACTCAGAAACTTTCAGTCTGAGGATTCATGGAAACAGGATCAGCTGAGGAATTGGCTAGGTGAGGTTGACTCTGGCTTGTTCTGCTTCTCTGATCCTTCAGTTTTAACCCCAATATCTAGTTCCAGATTTTGTTTTGTTTTATTTTATTATTAAGACCATTTAGCAATTCGTGTTACAATTTTACCTATTCTATTGGCTACCACTTTGCTCTAATGATGTTTTCATTTGCTGTACACAAACTTTTAGCTTTGCAAGTTTCCATATATTAATTGTTGGACTTAATATCTGTGATATCCATGTGCTGTTAAGAAAGTCCTTTCCTGTGCCAATGAGCCCAAGCCTAGTCCTTACTTTCTCTTCTATTGGGTTCGGAGTACCTGATCTTACGTTGAGGTCCTTGATCCATTTGGGTTGATTTTTGTGTAAGGTGATAGATATGTATCTATTTCCATTTTTCTACATGCAGCTACATCTTTTCTCCAATGTGATTTTTGTTTCACTTGTCAAAAATCAGGTATGCATGTGTGTGTGTCTTTAATTCAATTCCATTGATCAATGTGTCTGTTTTTATGCTGACACCCTCCTGTTCTTATGACTATAGCTCTGTAGTATAACCTGGAATTGTGGTTAATCTCCAGCAGTTCTTTTGTTATTCAGGATTGTTTTAGCTATCCTTTGGTGTTTTGTATTTTCATATGAAGGTGAAGATTATTTTTTTCAACTTCTATGAAGAATTGTGTGGGAATTTTTTATGAGAATTTAATTGAATCTGTAGATTGTATTTTCACAGTATTAATCCTACCAATCCTCCAAGGAAAGGAGATATTTCCATCTTCTGGTGTATTCTTCAATTTATTTTTAGGGTCTTAAAGTTTTTGTTGTACAAGTCATCAACTTGCTTGGCTAGAATTACCTCAAGATATTTTATTTTTTGAGGCTATTGTGAAAGGCAGTTTCCCTAATTTCTTTGTCAATATGCTTGTCAGTCAACAGAAGAGATCCTAGCCAACATTCTTATATTCCTTGATGTAAAAAAGAAAATGAAATCTTTAATTTTATAACAAACTAATGATCTTCAAACATCTGCAGAATCTTTTATGGGAAAGGTTATTTTTTATGGGTATGAGTATTTTGCCTACATGCATATCTGTGGACCACTTGTATACCCTGATGCTTGAGGAGTCCAGAAGTGGGCATCTGATCCCATGGATTTGGAGCTACCAATAGTTATGAGTCACAATGTGGATTCTGGGAATGGAATCCAAGTCCTCTGGAAGAGCAACTCTTAACCTCTGAACCATTGCTTTAACCCCTGGAAATGATATTTTAATAGCAGTAACTTTAAAATTACCAAACCCTTAGAACTAGTACTCAAATGAATCATTAGTTACTCACTGAGTCTTAATCTTAGTCATAAACACTGACTCATGTTCTAAACTATGATAATAAAATATATTCTATTCACCTTTTTTTCCTTTAGAAAAACTCTTCTTGAAAACCACCTGCTATTTCTTGGTTCAGATGTTTGGATCAGACATCATAAAACTGTGAGTATGGCACAGGAATCTGACTCAGTTGCTGGCACAGGTCAGAAGGCAGCTTTCTGCTCACTGCACTTAATGGAGAAAGGCTGGCCCTGCTCTCCCTGTCACAATAACAGAGGGAAACTGACACCAGATTCTAATGCTGTCACTTCAGTAAAGGCTCTCTAGAAGTACAGTGTGAAAATCTGGCTCCTTTTCTCTCCAAGCACCTTCCATGCAAGATTTACAGACAGTACCACCAACAAAAAACCCTACACTATCCACTGACATGGTGACTGACCCTGTCTCTGAGCTCCTGGCATTGGTCCTGCTCTCGTCCAATGGATTCCAGACCTCTGTCCTCAGGTGTCCTAGCCTATTACCTCCTAGCTCCTCTGTGGCATCATGATCTGTTTATTTTCTTTATAATTCTCTTCCTTCTGTTTAGACCACTCTTTGCAGCACTGGTTGTAGCAGGAATCTTAAAAGTTCTTATTAATAACATCAAACCTGAGGCCAGTTTTTTGGGTGAACCCTGGAAGATCAGAGAGCCAGAAAAAGCCACAGCTACCTCACCTTGCCGGATCCTTAGCTGGTCTTGCTTCCTCAGACTGGAGGCCTCTGAGTCCTCATCCAGAATGGGTCTCAGCTGAATTGCTGCTCAAAAGCCTGAATGCTTAACCAACCAAATGCTTAACCAGCCAAATGCCTTTAGTTTCTGGTCCTCACTCCTTATATACCTTTTTGCTTTCTACCACCACTCCCTGGGATTAAAGGCTGCTTTCTGGGATTAAAGGCGTGATGAGTAACCATGCCTGTCTGTATCCTTGAACACATGGATTTCTGCCTCTGGAATGCTAGAATTAAAGGTGTATGCTACCACTGCCTATCCTTTATGTTTAATATTGTGGCTGCCCTGTCTCTGACCCAGATAAGTTTATTAGCACGCACAATATTTGGGGGAATACAATACCACATTTCCTCTCTTTTTATCTAAAATTTAAAAAAGCTTATAACTAATATAAGAAAAATTATATCCAGTAAGTATATACAATATACACAGTCAAGATTACATTAACGATGTCTAGTCCATTAACATTTGACAGATTCAGATAAAAAACTCCATTATATATATTAACAATGTCCAGTCCAGTAACACTGGATAGGATGAGTCATGTTCATGTTCATGGCAGTCTCTCAAAAATGACCCATGTTACGCAACTTAAGCTCACAATCTATACCTCAGGAAGCCAGGTACAGTCACAGGTCCAGGCCATCTATCCTCAAAAATCCAATTCAAGTGGATTAATAGTAAATTAATCCAAATTAATAGTAAAGAGTAGAAAAGGGAGGTTTGTACAATGTGGCCACACTAGGAAGAGGGAAAAGAGATGCAGTGATGCACTCCAGTTCATCATCTGTTCTAAATTGAAGCTGACGTTTAAATAGAGGGCCAGCAATACGAACCTCTAAGCTGGTCAAAGTGTGGCCCAGCCATTGATTCATCATTATCTGGCTTCAGTCTCATTCTGCAAAGCATTCTAATGAGTGATGAGAACTGTGGAATCCCTGTTACAGGAAACAAGGTTCTCCTCTGACTGGAGCCAGGCTTCCAGGCTTCTTCATCTCCCAGCGTGAGAGTCCTGGGGAAATTCCCATTGTTGGGATCCATATTTTAATAGTCTGATAGTCAGATTGAGGGACACAAGTGTCTCTTTAAAATAACTTAATAGCAGAAGCCAGGCTTATATCCACACATGGTTGTCTTATGTGTGTGACTTAGTGATTCACTCAGTTCATTTGAATTATACAACAAGCACCTAGACCCATGTCCACAGACAAACTCTAGGACCATGATAATCAACTGAGTCTAACCTTCTAGTCTCTCTTATCTTGCACACTCCCATGAACATCCTAGGTTCTGTGTTAATCTTTTTCTCCATGTACTTTTACTATATATATATATATATATATATATATATATATATATATATGTGTGTGTGTGTGTGTATGTATGTGTGTGTGTGTGTGTGTATGTATGTGTGTGTGTGTATACATGCCAGCAAGATGGCTTAGCAGGTAAAGGTGCTTACCACATAAGCCAGACCACCTGAGTTCCTGGGACCCATGTAAAGGTTGAAGGAGAGAACTGATTCCACAAAGTTGTCTTCTCACCTCCACATCTGTGCCATGGCACACACTCCTACACATCATGCATATACACATGATAAAATAACCATATATATAATATAGTATATAATATGTACAGCCTTTTAAAAAATATATTTTTAGTTCTTAACATAGTGTCACATTTTATATATCATTTCATATGTGCCACTTCAGTGTGAATGTCTGAGATCACCCACATAACTCTCTCAGCACTATAGCACATTCACTCTGACTGTGTGATACTGAATTGTATCTCTAGGGTATTGTTCATGCACTCTGCCACTGATGGCCACACAGGTTGTTCTCTGGATATCTCCTGTATACAGTGCTCCTCTGAATATTCCTATAATAAGTGTGTGGTTAGCCCGAGAGTTGGGTATATAATGGTGAAGCTTAAAAGAAATTGTCACCTTCTAAAATAATGTAGCCTAGAGCCAGAGAAGTTTAAAGACAGAAGTTTAAAATCATGCAGACCGTGGAGATCTGTGTTCTGCATGTACACCTGTCTCTATTACTGCTGAACTTATCTATTACAGAAACTGATCACTCTGGAGTATGGCTGTGGCAGGGACCCTATCCTTTACCCCAAACCCCAATTATTGTCATGGCCTATGAACTGAAGTCAGGCCTGTGACCTTGTAAGTTTTCCTTAAATTTCAAAATCTACCAATACAGAAAAAATAGTATCTTTGAATGCAAACCTAACTATGACATTCCCTTACATAACATTCTTCAAGATCTGCACTTCCTTCTCAGGACTCCTGGCCCCACACATAAGACTCTTCATGAACTGGTCTTGAGGGCCCTTCCAAATTCACCCCTTGCTACCTCTCAGCACACCACATTCTCACACTACAGACAGGTTTGGTCTAACGACTTTTACACTTGTTTCCTGTGTTTGATACATCTAAAACCTATACCCAGATACATCATCCTACTTCTTTGGAGCTCACATCCAGGTCATCTCTTCTGGAAGCTTCCCTGATCCTCTCCAAGCTAATAAGGATATTCCACTTCTACTACATACAAGCAAATTGGCACATGCACACATTCACACATGCACACAACAGTATGCTGTGCAAACCTCTAGAACAGCACTTAGGACATGTGTTTGCAATTTAATTACCACTCTATTTTTCTGAGTCCCTGCTAAGTTGACAGCTTTCAAAAGCCTAGGACTACATTTTATTCATTTTGTGTGTATTTCCAGATATTCAGCAAAATCCTGACTATATGTCAAAGGGAAGAAGGATGGAAAGGGGGTGGAAGAAGGGAAGAAGCAGAGCTGGATAGAGGATAGACTGTTTTAGAGTAAGACAGATACAATAAATGATTCTGTCCACCACTTGTCTATAGAGGTCTAGCACCCTGTCAGCTCCAGTGCCCTATAAGTGCCAGCACCCCATCAGGACCAGCAACCTATCAGTACTAGGACCCCATCATCAGCTCCATGTTGATAAGGATCTCTCCTTGCATGTGTCCTCCTCTTACTGCTTGTTTTAAACAGTCAGAAGCAACTTGGAGTTGACTCAGGCCCTGAAAATGACAACCTCATGATTTAATTTTACCTGAATAGCTGCCTTCCAATATGAAATGGATTTCCTGACCTGGAGGCCAGTTCTCCTATTATCTCACACTAGTCAGTTCTCAATAATTCATGAACTAATTATGTAGCAATTTTATTTCCTATTCACAGCCGTAGCCATAGGATTCTGTAAAGAAAGAGGGAACCTGAGAAATAAGACATTCAAAATTCACCATGCAGTGTCTGGATCTATTTGAACTATTGTAACAAAATACCTGACACTGGAAATTTTAGAAACAACAGAAATTTACCACTCATAGATCTGGAGACTTGGAGTACAAGATCAATGTGTCAGCAGATTAGATGCCTTCTGAAAGGTTCACTCTTTGCTTCACATACACTGCCTTCTTTTTGCAAACTCATGAAGCAGAATTGTCAAACAAGTTACTCGGGCCTCCTTTCTAAAGGGGTATAGATCTCATTCATGAGCAGAGACCCCACAAATGCATATATGTTTGGGGAGAAGAAATATCAAGGCCATCTAGACACCTAGAAGAGGCTATCTAGGTGGAAATCCATCCTAGCCAGTCCAGGTGGAAAGTCCCCCATCTGGTCCCGACCTACATTCTTCTCAATGTTGCTTTAGAAAATCAAGCTCTGGGCGCTATAAGCATCGTCTTGCTTCCTGGTACTCAACTGTTGCTTCCCTGTGTCCCAAGTCCAGTAGCTCTCAGAGATCAGGAAAGGACAACATTTTCATAAGAAAACTAAAGAGCAGAAATTACAACAGTTATCATATGACTTAAATATAATAACTTTTATTGACATAAAAAATACAAAGCATTGTAACTATTTTCTTCACAAAATGGTAACAGAATTTATTAGACTCAAACCAAGTGTAGTGGCTCACACCTATAGTCCCAATTCCTACAAGGCAAGGCAAGCTCTCCCTCTGAGAGTTTAAGGCCAGCCTGGTCTACATGTTAAGTTCCAGGCCAGCCAAGATTGCACAGTGAGAAACTGTTTTGTTAAAGAAAAGAAAAGAAAAGAAGAGAAAAGAAAAAAGAAAATACCTACAATATTCCCCAGATAGGAAGAGACCATGATCATGAAGGTAATTTTCCCAGGGCAAGGCTCACCAGCTGCAATGTAGATGTGCTGACCCCTGCGATTTGCTCAAATGTGGGAAATCCAATTGCATGATTTGTGAGAGTGGAAGACCATGTTTACCTCTTCCCTGTTACAAAAAAAAATATATAAATATATTTTTAAAACCTAAAAACTCATGAGTTCACAATGACAGAGACTCCTAAAAGAGCGACACTAACTCTTTGGAATGAGGTAGGCTTCCTCCCAACTCCACCCGCCCTTCACTAGCTCAGTTAGAGCCCTCTTTGAAGGAGCTTCTGTACCCAGACATCACACTTCACCTCTGGCTCTTATACACTTTTGGTCTCCTTTTCTGCATAGGTCCCTGAGCCTTGAGGGGAGGGGTGTGATCCCATTTAGGACTGAGTTTTCTGGTTGTGTGAGTCTCTGTGTTAACTCTCATCTACTTCCAGGAGCTTCTCTCATTAGGATTAAGTGATGCATTGACTCAATAACAGCAAATGTTTAAGAATAACAACCTTTAATGTAAATGGTCTTAACACATGAATTACAGACTGAGTGGATTCAACTCACATTTTTCTTCATGAAATTCACAAAACTAGGAAATACATCCAAAAACTGAGAATTAAAGGTTGGAAAACAACCTACCAAGCAAACAGAAGTTGAATTTAACCTGATCTGATTCTGTCTGATAACATAATGGCAAACCAAAACTAGTCAAAAGAGGTGAAGGTGGCCACTGAAGATTAATAAAAGGAACAGCTCATCAAGATGATATAATTATTGTAAGTATGTATGCACCAACTCATGAGGACCCAATTTTAAAAAAAAAAAAAATGAACACTAAAAAGCATAAAAGGCCACATGTGTCCTAATACAAAAATGATTGAAGGCTTCACACACCTCACTTTCATGTCTAGATATGAGTCTTCAAAATCAAAAATCAGAAAAAGTTCAGAACTAAAGTATACTACAGATCAACAACATTTAATAGATATCTCTAGAACATTCCATGCAATAGGTAGGGAATAAACATTCTTCTCAGAGACACATAGAAGACTCTCTAAAATTGCTCACAATAGAATCCACAAAACAAGCCTTATGCTACACAAAATAATTGGAATAACTCCCTGTGTCTTACAGAACCACAGAGGAATAAGGCTGGAAAGCAATCGCAACGCTAACCTCAGACAACACATAAATACCTGAAGACTGAACAGTACAGTTTTAAGTGGACAGTATGACAGGGAAGAAAATCAGGGAAGAATTGTTTTAATTCCTCTATCAAATGGAAGTGAGAGTACAGTCCACCACGACCTCTGGGATACAGACAAGTTATCCTAAAAGGAGAGTTTGTGCCTCTAAATGTTTATATTTCTTAAAAATCAGAGATATCTCCAAAAATAATCTAACAATATACCTCAAGACTTTAGACAAAATTAGAAACCAAACCCAAAAGCAATATACAGGAACACACACACACACACACGCGCACACACACACACACACACACACACACACACACACACGCGCGCACACACACACACACGCGCACACACACACACACGCACACACACACACACACACACACACACACACACACGCGCGCACACACACACACACACACACACACACACACACACACACACACACATGCATACACACACCTATGATGGGAGAAATTAATGAAAGAGAAACCGAAAGAACAAACAGCGTTATTCCGAATTGGTTCTTTGAAAATATTAATAAGACTGACAAATCTGTAACCAAACTAACCAAAAGAAAGTGAAGGAACAACCAAATTAAGACAAGAGACACACAGATTCCAAAGAAGTCTGGAAGACTGTAAGAGAATAATTCGATAACTTACATTCCAAGATGTTGAAAAATCTAAAACCAATGGCTAATTTTCTAAATGCATATTACCTGTCAAAGTTAAAGCCTCAGGCACAGCAAACACTTCTCAAATATCATCTGTGTTCCAACGGAGTTGAATAGACTCAGCCTTCAAGTCCCATTACCTGTGGCAATTGTGACCTCTCACTTAGATCAGCCTCTGCTCAATGCCTGCAGATTTCCTCACCAAACCCCGTATTCTGGAGACTCCACTGCATCTTAGACCTTACCTCTACTACTTTATGCACAACCTACTCATGAGTCTATGTCTATAATCTGGCCCTGCTATTCATTGTCTGACCTTGGTGTCTTTCTAAGGTGTTGCTGCAAGCTCTTACGACTCCTTAGCTCTTATGTTGTGCATGTGAGCAATGCCAAGTTCTGTTGCCAATTTAGAATGTCGCCCAGTCCCCTTGGACCACAGATGCAGCAGCCTCTAAGTAGACAGCTAACCCTAGAGAATTACTTCTCCAGCATACCCTTTTTTCCAGGATAGTAACTTGAAGTCTCTGTGTTTTCAGACACCTTCTTTGTAAATGAATTTGCAATGTTACAATGCTTGTAATAGATGGGATTCTGATACCGTTCCTGCTGTCACTATGAAACTCATAGTTTGTTTTCAATAGTGTTAATCTAACAATTAAAGATGCTTTGTTCACAGCACCTTGTCTTCGACCATAAACTTTCTCACACTCCTCTGTTCACCGACCTGAATATTTTTCATAACATTCTGCTTTGAACTCTAAACCTCACTAAATGCAGAGAGCAATAACCATGCCACAGCCTGAATGAAATTTCCTCCACCAAACAATGTATTTCATTACTTTTGAATTGAGCCTTGCTCAGAGTTTTAGAGGATAGACAAAATGTAGCCAGATTATTTGCCAGCCTATACTATAAATGACCTTCAACCTCGTTTCAGGTGTCCTTGTTCCTCTTTGAAACTTTATACAGCCCTTTCTGACTCACTGCACTTCTATACACATTATTGTCATCTGAACTCTTATAAGAATTACCCATTCTTCTCTCTTTACTCTAGCCCACAGCTCTCTTCTGTATTTCTCCTGTAAACAAGTTCAGAAGGCCTCTGGCCTACACAGCCAGGAAGTCACCGTAGTGAACTCATTTCTCAGTAGCAATTTTCAGTGTTCACCACTTTTCTCATTGCTGTGACCAAATGCCTGGCAAGAAGAAACTTAAGGGCGAAGACATTGTTTGGACTTGTGATTTGAGGGGACACTGTTCATTGCTGTGGTGAAAACATAAGTCAAGGTCAGCTGCATCGCCACTTAAGGGGGTGGGGGAAGTGGGGGTGTTAGTGATCAGAAAGCTTCCTCCTTTTCCCTCGCTCAGTAAGTCTGGACCACTAGCCCATCAGATAGTACCACTCACATTCAGCCTCTCTGTGAATGCCCTCACAAGAGGATGCTTTTCCTACATCATTTAAAAATAGTAAACTTGACGATGAAGATGAGCCATCACACCTTGTTTTAGCTCCTTCGAATCTAGACACAACCGCAGTATTTGAAGACCACTGTCTTATGGATTTCTCCATAAAAGAAACAAATTAACAATAATATTTTTCTTTCACAAGAATAAGAGATATGTTCAGTTTAAAAGGGAAGAGGTGATTTGGATTATATATAAGAAAATAATTTTAAGTGTGTAAAACTATATATAAATAAAGTAGTTTTTTCTATTAGGTTCAATAAACCTCAAAATATTATTCCCATCTCATCATATCCTTTCTTTTTTCCTTTCCCAATTGTTTTTGTGGCTTCTCCTGAAAATAATCCAGTGTTCTTCTGAGAGGCTCAGGGATTGTATGTCCCATCCTGTCCTCAGGACCTTACGCAAGAGACAGGAGAGATGAGTATCGCAGGAAAACACAATGCAGTAGTTGTCCTGGGTGAAGCTCTAAGGCCGGGTTGTGAGGGCATCAGAATCCATTCTGGGGATTTAACGGCCTTTGATGTGCTTCTGCTTCCCAATGCCTGAGAGATCTTAATAGCTTTTGCTTTGCTCCATTTCCCGCCAGACTCGGTGAAGCTATGAATGCTGATGTGGTGTGCCATGCTCTGGAATTTTGCAAGCAGGATGCTGTCCAATCACAGTGTCATCTCTACCCACTTCCCCAGGTGAGTGGGTTCTGCTCTGAATGTCACTTTCCAATAGCCTTTAGGTCCTTTGGAGATGTTTTAAAGGGAAACTTGGCTTCATTTGCTCAGTGGTTTGTGGACTGGAAGCTGAAGAGTCAAGGCTGGAATCTGCATATGAAGGAAAACATGCTGTATTTGTCTTTCTGAACCTGGGTTACCCCACTCAGTATAATTTTTCCTGTAAATTTTATAATAGAATTTCTCTTTTCAGCTGAATAAGATTCTATTTATCTATATATCACATTTTCAATATCTATTCATCAATTGATGTATATTTAGAATTATTCTGTTTCCTAGCTCTTGTGAGTAGAGGTACAATGAACATGGATGTGCAGTGTCTCTGTGGTGGGGTAGACAGTCCTGTGAGCACATGTCCAAGAGAATTATGACTGAGCCACATGGTAGATCTAGTTCTAGTGTTTCGAGGAACCTTTAGAGTGGCATCCAAAGTGGATGTACTAGTTTAGAATCCTGCCAGCAGTGTATAAGGATTACCTTTTCTTCACATCCATGCCAGTGTTTGCTGCCGTTTGTATCCTCAATAATCCTTGATGATGGCCCTTCATTCTGATTGGGGTGAGACCGAATCTTAAAGTAGTTTTAATCTGCAGTTCCCTGGTGGCAAAGGATATTGAACACTTTTTAGAATGTTTCCCAGGATTTGTAATTTCTTTTGAGGACAATTTAGTTTCACATCATTTTTAAATTGGCCTTTCTTTCTTAGAGTTTTCTCCCTCTAGTATATTCTAGTCCTCTATTCTATGTAGAAGTGACGAATAGTTTCTTCTATGAGCTGCATCTTCCTGAACAGTTTCCTTTGCCATGCAGAAGCATTTTAGTTTCATTACATCCCATTTGTCAATTGTTTGTTTTTCCCCTGATACCAGAGTCCTATTCAGAAAATTGTTACCTATACATACATATTGAAGTTCATCTCCTACTCTTTCCTCTAGCAATTTCAGGGTATCAAATCTTACACTGAAGAATTTGATTCATTTGTAGTTAATGTTTTCGCAGGGTGAGATACAGGCACCAAATTTTATTCTTCTAAATGTCTGTGGCCAGATTTCCCAGAAGCATTTGGTGAGGATGCTGTCTCCTCCAGTGTATATTTTTAGATTATTTGCCAAAAATCAGGCAGCAATTGTGGTGTAGACTTATTTCTGGGTACACTAGTCTACACCATTGAACTATATGCCTATTTTTTTGCCAGCGTAATGATGTTTTCATTACTATGGCTCTGTAGGATAATTTGAAATTAGATATAGTAATATCCACCAAAGTTTTCTTTTGTTCAGGACTGCTTTAGAGATCCTTGGTCTTCTGAGTTTCTGTATAAAGCTTATGATTGTCTGTGAAGAATGTCCCTGGGATCTTAACTGAGATGACATGGAACTTTATATTGCCTTTAATATTTAACAATATTGATTCTTCCAATCCATGACCATGGCAGGGAGGGGGATTTCTTCCATCTTCCAGTATCTTCTTCCATTTCTTTCTCCAGTGTCTTAAAGCTTTCATTGTAAAGGTTTACAATTTCCTTGGCTAGGTTCATTCCCAGATATTTTTTTACCTTATGGTTGCTAAGAATGGGATTATTTTACTAGTTTCTTTTTTCAGTATGCTTGTCCTTGCTATGTATGAAGGCTACTGATATTTATATATTAATTTTGTATCCCACCTCTTTGCTGAAAGTGATTATCAGATGATATCTTTAATTATTCCATGTAAAATGTTTCTTCTTGCTTCATCCTTGATCTTTCCTCCCATGCAAAGAATGTCTAGGTTCTTCTACTGTTGGCAGTAATCTTGAACTGGACTGGTAGTAGATAGGAGAATCAAATAAGAGAGAAATCAGGTATTTCTTCGGGGACTATGGGGGTCCAGCCCCTCGATAGTCCCTTCCCAGGGTCCGGGAAGAATCTACAACCAGCTGATAATTAATCTTTGATGAGAAGAAATGAATCTATGTACACGAAACTCCTTAGTCCATAAACTTTATTATTCTGTGTCAGTTACAAGCTTATATTCTGCTCTCATATTTAGGTCTTTTTTTGCCTGATTTCTCTCTACACTTGTCCGCGGTCCCCTCTGGGTTCTATTTTAATTCCTTCATCTTGTTCTGCCCCTTCTAGGGTCTCATCCATCTTGTTCCTTCCCATATCATCTTTTCTCCCATCTCTTTCTCTCTCCTCATCTCGTTCTTCCTCATCTTGTTGTTCCCCATCTGGCTAATCCTCATCTTCCATCTCATTCCTCTAGTACTCTCTTCTAGCCCTTCAATCTAGTTCTTCCCCATCTCAGTTTGTTCCTCTCAAGTTCTTACCTGTCTAGTTCTTCCATTCTCTTTTCTCTTCTCCGACCCTCTGTCCTGGAGGTCCCGGTATATAAAAGGAGGGTCCGAGCTAAATTGTGTAAAGCTATTACTTAACGTCCACCTGACCTAGGCGGTGTCTCCTTGTCCAATTTACCTTAAGTTAGGAGACTTGTATGTGGGCTGTTATCACTGTTAGTCCTCGGAAATTGGGCGACCACCTGGGCGGTGTCTCCTTGTGGAATTTACCTCAAGTCAGGAGACTCGCCTGTGGGTGGTTATCACTGTTAGTCCTCGGAAGTTGGGCAACCACCTGGGTGGTGTCTCCTTTAGTCCTTGAAAGTGGCTAGGGGAGATATCTGATTCCAGAGAAAGCCTTTCCTGAGGCTGTTCTCCAAATGCCTGGAATGTGTATGTCTAGAGAGTGATCAGTCCACATTGTTAGCCGTTCTTAGGGAAAAGTCAATTGGGAAAACTATGAAGGTACACATGATTTTCATAACAGAAGACAGCTGATATATAACAAGCCAAGTAACACCAAAAACTCCTTGGGATTTGGCTTCCTCTGGAGGAATTCCCTGATTCCTCCAGGTAGTGACTTTGCCATAACCAGCTGAGTTCTTATGATGTATTTCTGCGGCCCGCAGCAGTATTTAAATGCACCTTATCCCTCAAAACCAAATGAGTTACTCTTGCAGGACAGCCAACTCATCTTAGAATGTCCAGAACATTTCAGGGATCAGCACTAAAAATTCCATATCCCAAGAAAACCTGTTTAGCTGGTTGCTCTCATCTGAGCTTGACTGTCCTTATCCATAAGATGAGTATGATAAAATATCACCCTCCCAAAGCTTCCTAAGTAAAGCAAGCATATATATATATATATATATATATATATATATATATATATATATATACACACACACACACATATATATATATATTACGTGTGTATGTGTGTGTGTATATACAATAATTGGCACAATACCTGCAATACACACACACCTATAATACATTAAAATATTGTTAAAAAGGTATCTAATAAGATTATTGTCAATATTATGATTATTTAAGATGGTTTTTAAGAATCATCTGTATCATATCATTTTGGGCAACTTTTAGTTGGATTGTGGTCAGACAAGACTGTAAATGCTGACATAATTCTGTCTACACACTGTAGATCAGAGCACAGTATTAAACTAATTAAGGCTCACAGTATTGATTTTCATGAGCATCCTATTCAAATAATTCTATACCCCTTTCCTTAAAATTATGATTTTTCTGCATTAACAGTTTTGGGTTTCAAACTATTTTATTTATGTTTAAATGAAGTCAACTCTAGTATTTTGTGACTAACCAACGCACATGATTTTTATGGATAAAGTATTAAATATCAGAGGTTGGGGAGACAGCTTAGTTGGTAAAGCACTTGCCACACAAAATGAGGACCTGAGTTTCAACCCCCAGAACCCGGGTGGGGGGGGGAGAGAGAGAGAGAGAGAGAGAGAGAGAGAGAGAGCAGGTGCTGGAGAAATGCACACATACAAGATATTAAATATCACAAACCTGAGCAGGAAAAATGGAAACAAGTTCCCCGGGGCACATATTTCATGCTTCTTCAGTAATTAACTGTCAATGAATTTTCCCTAATTCCTCCCAAGAAGCTGTAGAATCCACTGACTTCTAGAAAAGTTAATTTTAAGTGAAAAAAAATTCCAGTAGTCAAATAGCATGTGAATATTCTCATCATAATCACTATTTGGTATTGGAAGAAGGAAATGTATCTCTGTGTAAGGAAGCAAACATATTAGTCAGCTTATCATCATTATGACTAAGTGCCTGAGAGAGGCAATTTACAATTAGGAAAGGCTTGCTTGGGCAGGTAGTTCAAAGGTTTCAATTCATGATCACTTGACTCTGGTCATGGACTTGTGGTGGGGCAAGACATCAAGATGTAGGGATGGGGATAAGCAACTCACTTTATGGTGACTCAGAAGCAGAGAGAGAAGGGGCCAGGAGGAAGGTTTACTCCACAAAAGACCCATTGCCTTCAACTAGAGCCTGCCTTGTGGGTTTCCATCTCCCTGCAGTAGCACAAGTTCTGAGCTCATCAATTAGTAGACTCATTGATGAGGTCACAGCCCTCATGGTTCAGTCACTTCCTCAAAGCTCCATCTCTGAACATTTCGTTAGGGACAAGCTTTCAACGGACAAGACTTTGGGGACATTCCTGATTTAAATCATAGCAGCAAATGATTTGGGTTTTAGTACCATAATATAGGTGCATCATATCCTCAGCGGTCCACACAATGCTCAGCTTTAGCTGATGGTAAATAACACTTCTGGTTTGAGCATACTGTCTGCAGATAGTTTATCCACCAGGTTTCATTTCTTTATCTCCCCCAGCTTATCCCCCCCCCCCCTTTCACTGTGGTGCTGGAATTTGAACCTCGGGCCTTTCACATGCCAGCACTCACCGTCTTTCAGCTGCCAACTTGGGAACATTTCAACAACCCTCTTTGGCTGGAAGGGAACAGCAAGGATTTCATCCGGGAGTGTTCAGCTTCCACTCAGGGCATTCTGGGCTGCTGGTCAGCTTGCACCCCTCCCTCTGCAGCTGCCTCAGCACCTCTCTTCACTTCCCCCAGAGGCTCCAGACCTTCTC